TGTGTGTTTATTTGTGTATGGTTTGGTGTGTGTGTGTGTGTGTGTGTGTGTGTGTGTGTGTGTGTGTGTGTGTGTGTGTGTGTGTCTGTGTGTGTGTGTGTCGGATGGTATGTACAAATGAGTGCTATGTGAGTTTATCTGTTTTCAAGCACTTTTTTTTCTGTAGTAATTACATTTAACACAATTTGAACACAAAAGGGAGACTCTTAAGGTCTAGAGGTACAATGTTCATCTCTTGTTCAATAGGTCTTTTGCTACTCCTGGCTCCTTCTTACTGCTGTCCTTCAGACGCACCTCTGATCATTGGGTAGGTAAGATCCAACACCTAGCTTTCTCGGATAAGGAAAAAAAAACTTTGGAGGTCCTGTGTGCAGATTGCACTATTAAAGATCCCTTGGTGGTCCAAAAACCGATAAGACTAGGTTTCAACTGCACTCGGGCAAAATTTAAAATTAATTCCTACCCAGCTGAAAATGCTTAATGTGTCCCGCGCACTCAAATGACCTTATACATTTGCGAGCCCTGTAAAACATTTACCAAAACATAACAAACATGAATACAAAAATCTAAATATCTGAGAAAAAAAAACAACCAAAAACCTTAAAACATATGGAAGACTAATTGTTAAAGCAATAAGCTATCAATGCATTCGTTCCATTTCCTGAACAAACCAGAATGTAGGCCTACAGGTATTTGACCTTTTCATTTAACCTTTTGAACTCCTGTTACTACCATCACCCTTCCACCTGACCTCCTGAGTGATTCGCCCCTAGATTTGATGAAATTGCTATATTTTTTTCACCAAACAGCATGTTCACAACTTCCAAAAAGGCACAGATATATTTGGCAAGATTGAAGAAGACCTTAACCGAAGTAAATGTAGAATAGCTCTTTTGATTGGCCAATAAATATGAACATTAAACATCCAACTATGAGATGGGGTTTCACACACCAGTGCAGTTAAATGGTTGAGAAATTTTACTTGCCACTGGTGTACCCATGACCAGAGCGTAAAAGGTTAATTGTAAGAATTCCAGCCTCACCACAAAATCCACAACACTAACACTAATTAAAGGAGAAGCTGTATGGGCCAACAGAAGTGAGCAGGATGGCCCAGTATAGGATACATACCAGACTTCAAGTGTAATGCGATTGAGAAGAAGAAGAATACTCATACTTGACACATTTTTGTCTACAATTTTTAAAACCCCCGAAAAGATGTCCTTTCTGAAATCACACAGTTCAACAGCCACTAACTGTGACTATGTCTGTCACATCAATAACAACAACTGATGTGGTTCTGGTGCAAGAACTTAAAACTACCCATGAGATTGGCAATAGGAGGTCAAACAAGTTCACTTTTACGCTATCATTTGACCACGTTTTGCAAGACATAACACATTTTTTAAAAAGTTATAAGTCAAAACTATTTCTTAACATATTAAAACTGACGAGTAAAAATAATGGTCAAAATCAATGTTCGACAAATTAAGGGTTATAGTCATGAAGCAGTCATGAAAAGAGAAATTGTGACATGGGTAAATATAATGAAAAATTATGTTACAAGTTACAAGTGTACACTGTATTATAAGCATTCAAGTCTCACAACAGCAGTTATGGCAATATTATGTCATGTGATACACATCAATTGCTGCCGTTTGATGTGAATGAAAAACATTTGAAAAAAAAAAATCAATGTTTCCAGAAATCAGCACCGTATGTCTCATTATGTTCAAAGAACAATATGACATATATATATTCAAATACAACAAACATTATTGTAACATGAACAAAAACGTTAAAATGATTTTTCCTGCCTCTGCCCTCTCTCTTTTTATAAATTGAGAGCTTTCATGCACGGGTTCCCCTTTTTCCTTCAACCTACAAATCTTTTTATCACATTTCCCTCTTCAGATCTCTTTTTCATATAATATATCTAACTCCCTTGTTTTTACTCATATTTTCGTCTATGACATTCTTTATTCATCCCCTTTGTCCTGCTCCATCTCTTCATCTCAAACTGATCCATCGTGATCTTTGCCTTTCACTTCAACATTTTCAAATGAAAACCCTGACTCCCATGCAGCACTCACTTCTACATGCAAACATTAATCTGAACTTTCATAGAGTTCTTCATTGACAGTTATTCCCTCCCTCACGCATCCCAAAGGAAATACTTGCAGCTTGTTGATAATTCCCTCAACAGACATTTCATTTCATTCCATTCATAAATCATTCAGCAGCCACTCATTTCTTCTTAATCTATTCACAGATCATCCACACAAAGTTCCTTCAATCTATTCTCAAATCATCCACTTCCACAGTTCTCTCAGTCTATTTACAAATCATGCAGCCTGCACTCCTTTCAAACTATTGTCAAATCATCCCACTCATAGCCTTTTTAATTTATACACTAATCAACTCTTCAACAACTCTGTTAATGTATTTATTCACACATCATCTCTTACAAAAGCTCTCTATATATTCATACATCACCCCATCAATAACTCTCTCTCTGTCTCTTCACACACCATCCAATTAATAACTCTCTCTGTCTCTTCACACACTACCCAATTAATAACTCTCTCCGTTTCTGCACAAATCACCCTATCAATAACTCTCTCTCTCGACTGCTAAGTGTCAGACTCTGTCATACTTCACTTTTCAAAATGACATATGGCGGAGTCTTACACTAAGCAGTCGCTCTGTCTATTCACACATTTTCTCTTCAGTCTCTCTCTCATTCTATTCAGACATCATCTCTTCAATCTCTCTCTCAGTCTATTCACTCATCACCTCTTTAATCTCTCTCTGTTTATTCATACATCGTCTTTTCAATATCTCTCTCACTCTATTCACAGATTATCTCTTCAATATCTTTCTCAGTTGTCTATTCACCGATCATCTCTTCAACATCTCTCTCAGTCTATTCACAGATCATCTCTTCAATATCTTTCTCAGTCGTCTATTCATACATCATCCCTCCAGCGATCCCCCCGTGAGCTCCGATGACTCGCACTAGACATCCTCTTCTTGTCGTAAGGCCCTGAGGTGGGCCTGAAATCCACCACCCCGTCCGACTCTGGCACAGCAGGCTCCACCACACTGCCGTTGTTGACATGAGCATTACTGACCGGCCGTGGGGTTTTGCGATTTTTCTGCACAATGGCGTACTCATCGTTATTGATACAGTAGTGTAGGTCATCGCAGGGCGAGCCTCGCTGGTTCACCAAAGGACGCATGTCTTGAGAATCCCCAGGGTGGTTGTGGTAGCCATTGTCATAGCCATTATCGTAGCCATTGCTGTAGCCATTCTCAAGGGCTCTGCCTGTGGTGGTATGGGCGGGCGGCACTCGGTCGATTACTTCGTAGATGTCCCCGAGTTCACTCCCAGTTCCTTCATAATGGCTGCTGCCAGTCATGTGATCGGGGTAGTGTCCATTTGTGTCCTCCACTGAGCTGGACATGTCAAAGGTGCCCGTCTGGAAGGTGTGGATGAGGTCTCGGAAGTCGCTGTCCCGTTTGTTGGACAGGAAAGTGGAGATGCCACTCCCTGTGCTGGTGCGGTGGTCTAGGTCTTCCGAGTCAAAAATGGCGTCATTGTGAATGGTAGCCACAACCTGGGGGGATATGCAGGGGGTAAGGAGGGGGGATGAGGAGAGTTCAGAAATTTCCATTATTGTTTTTGGAATGAATAAACTGAAAAAAACCCTGCGTGAAATGGTTACTGATAAAACCTCTTATGAGAACACAGTTTTCTTCATATTATTGTTAAGTTTGACGTCACCTTGGTTGAATTAATTGTTAGAAGTTTGATTGAAACTAGGCTGATCGGGTTGTTGGTCTTTAAAGGGGTCCTTTTTTTTCACTCACATAATTAAAATTAAAGTGTTTGAACTAGGGAAATGACAACCCTTCTTGACCTATATCAGAACAAATCTTATGTCTTCTCTTCCTCCTTTATTCCTCTTTAAACCTGTGGAAAAGTCACTGACAGGTTCTGTAGCATAGAGTGCAACTGTTCTTACACAGCTTTTTCCCTAACTTAAACAAACACAGTGTAAATTTAACCCTCCAAGTGTTGGTAACAAATAGCCAGGCATGTCAGGGTAAAATTTTATGATGTCATCATATTTTGTTTGAAAATATTTGAGAACAGGCTAACACAGCAAGTAACAATCATGATCATAAACCTATAGGCTACATTTTCAAAAAGTAGAATAGAAATAGGAAGTAGAGTTCATTTGAGGAGTTGAAATGTTTCGTGACATTCTAAAAAATTGGATAAATGAACTGAAATAGCAACTAAAATTGTGGCCAATTAAATCCACCATGACACAAGAGAACGAATCTTATGGCCAATTTAATTGGATGCAGACATTAAGAGGGGTAGAACAATGACTAACATAATGACTGAGCTGGTGCTCCTGAAGTTTTAAGTATATCCCACCTGGTTTGTATCTTGTGGGCTCTTAAATGCATATGTGGTCTCGGATGTGTGAGATCCTGAGCCTTCAGCCAGGCTGTTGTTGGGGAAAGTGTCCAGTGGGGTGTCATCTCGTCGCCACAAGGCTGCCTTCTCACTGGAGTCAGATACACTCTTTCTGCGCGAGATCCTTCGGTAGCTGATCATAGAAATAAGTTAATACAAAAGGTTAAAAATGTCTTATTTGTTTTGTTTTGTGTTAAGAGAAGCATATATAGACAACAAAAGCATTTAGTGCAAAGAAAGAGTAAGACAGACAGATAGATAAATAAGACTGAAAGAAAAGAGGTAGGATCTACCAGTGATGCCCTGTATACAAAAGCTAAAAATCTTTGTCAGTTAACAGAAAAAAAGTAACGACAAAACAATCTCAACAGAACTTAAACTTAAATGTTGTCAGCTTTACTTTCCAGAGGTTTGTGAAGATTAACCTCATTTGTTCTTGTACTGCATGGGTGGTTGGTGGATCCATTGGTAGGTCCTAGGCCCCAACTTCTTTTATGTCCCTCTTTTGTTTCTGTCTTTTCACACTGCTCTTCTCCTGCTCTAAATGGCTGATATTGTTTTGATGCACTTTTGTTTCCTCAAGCTCAAATGTATGTCACAAACTAAGTTTTACTTTCCTCACTCTTCGAAGTCCTTTTCCTCTTTTCAGCAAAACTGTGACAAAACACAATTTAAGTAGAGATTAAGTGTCAATACTATTATGACAAGTAATCTAGGCTAAGAACATAGAAAAATTTGTTAAAAACCACCTGTTTCGGCTACAACACGTTGGATTTAATGAATTTATATCTCAAATGCTGCAGTGGAACTCAGATTCAACGAAACCGTCGTGCCTGACCTTCGATTTCTTTAATTTGTTATAGCAAATATGATTGTCTTTTTAGATAATTACAGGCACCAAGCAAGTAATGTACAAAGTGAAGTAATAAGTGGTAGGCTACGCTGAGATGCCAGATTTTTTAACTGCTCTTCGAATTCCTTAAGAATCAAAAGTAGTTTGGTTTCAAATGAGAGGCATTTTCGTTTCTTTGACTTTGATGCCATACCAAAAAAATGCTGGGAAATTCCAGGAAAATACACTTAACTCTGATATACATATATAAGTCTCACCTGATATACATTTAAAAGTCTCACCTGGTATAGACATATATAAGTCTCACCTGATATATACGTACAAGTCTCCCCTGATATATCCGTACAAGTCTCACCTGATATACACGTATAAGTCTCACATGGTATAGACGTATATAAGTCTCCCCTGATATCTCACCCGATATACATGTAAAAGTCTCACCTGATATCTCACCTGATATACATGTAAAAGTCTCGCCTGATATCTCACCTGATATACACGTATAGTCTCCTCTAGTATATACATACAAGTCTCACCTGATATACACGTAAAAGTCTCACCTGATATACACATATAAGTCTCACCTGATATCTCACCTGATATACACATATATATAAGTCTCACCTAATATACACGTATAAGTCTCACCTCATATACACGTAAAAGTTTCACCTAATATACACGTAAAAGTCTCACCTGATTACTCACCTGATATACATGTATAAGTCTCACCTGATATCTCACCCGATATACACATATAAGTCTCACCTGACATACACGTACAAGTCTCACCTGATATACACGTATAAATCTCACCTGATAATGACAACGATGAGAGCAATGAGCAGACCAAGGATGACAATTCCAAAACAGATGTACAGGATCATCAGTTCTGTAAAGGAACGTGGACAATGTTTGTTGAATGAAAGGAAAAACAACAAGCTGCACGTTACTTGCTTTCTTTCATCACTCTATCCACAAGCATTGACTTACTCTTTTTTTAACCAAGCATTGTCTACATCCTTAACTTTTTTCTCTAGAACTTCTTATGGCAACTCCACCAAAGTCTCGTACCTTATGCAGGAGCACACAGAAACGCAAGAACATACTGTATAAAAACATCTCTCTCTCTCTCTCTCTCTCTCTCTCTCTCTCTCTCTCTCTTCTCTCTCTCTCTCACTCTCTCTCTCTCTCTCTCTCTCTCTCTCTCTCTCTCACTTTCTCTCTTTCAATTTTCAGAAGTTGGAAAATGACTCCAATAAAACTACCTTATGAAGTACATGTATATGACTATTCTTCGCTTTGTAAAATGAAAAATATGAACTAAGTAAACAGAGAAAGCCCCTCCAAGTTTAAAAGTAAGGTTGACTTGCAATTGAAAAAGTTGTGAATTTGATTTCTAGTTCAGTCAGGTGGGTCACAGAACATTCAGGAAAAGTACTTTTCAGTTTGGTAAAAGTTTTACAGTGCTCGCAGCTAATAAGGTTAAGAATAATTTAACCAATTAGTTATTTTCTCAATTTGCCCAACTGCAACTGGGTACTTAACAATTGGCAGAGATGTATCATGTGATTGATAGTGACACGTGCCTAACAGGCTGCAGTTTTGTTAGTCCAATGGGACACGGAAATGGCAATTTGGGATGAACAGGCAACAAATGATGGAGTTAATAAACCATATCAGTCTTCAGGGAGACATTCGATTACATAATTCAGCCCTTTAACTTTCAACTTGAACGGCAACACATCTTTTCTTTCCTCTTCCTCTCCTTATTTCAATGAAAAAAATTCTAGAGAAAAGAACATCAAATATAGCATAAACCTATCATTTCTAGCATGAACAGTTATCATCCCATAATAAAGACTTTTTCCATGATAGAAGTACAAAAAAATTGTTATAGATTAGTAAGAAATATTTCGTCATACTCAGTTCCCTGCTCATTCCTCCTGATGACTCGTCTGTGGTGGGGCTCTGTCCGGCAGTGCGTCCTGGGGAAGGGTAAACAACATGTGTGATTTGTTACCTTTGGGTCTCATTTGACTTTTCTTGTATCGCCTCGAACCCCAAATCCCAAGAGTGCACCCGCTCCCTTTTAGTCTGATTGCTTGTTTTTTTTTGTTGGGTTTTTTGTTTTGTTTTGTTGGGATAAGTAGGCCATTTTTCTCTTCAGTAAAATGATGGATGTGACCTTATACCAGTTCAGTTTAAAAATTGTTCCTCTTGACTAATAGAACAGATTAGAATATTACTTTTTGGGGGGTAAAGATTCTGAAAGGTAAGATGAAAACCATTTTTAAAAATTGATTTAATAATATCTAATCTCTGAAGAAAGTCAAAACTAAGCAAGTTACTTTTAACAAAGATTTCTGGAGAAAACGTAAATTCACACATTGTGGCTTTCAGATAAATATTATTTTTGAGCATTTGAATAAACATAGGCCTACATCTTAAATTATTTGAATCAAAGATTGAAATAGGAAGGGGGAAACAAATATTGGGGACATCTTTCTTTTCGTAACTTTTGATGCAGCATGCCAAAATAAGAGGAAACGCATTAGGCGTATACGAATGTAACAAAAATGTTAAAAACAACCTACAGAACATCAACTACCCAACCATGCACAATGAAAGTCAGTTTGCCTCTCAACAAAAAGGTGAATGAAAGCCCTTCCCGTTCTCACGAAAGTCTAGAATTATTTATAAATTATTTTTAGGCTAACTCATTTGAATTCATTGGGGTTTTTTTTTTGTAAAGAAAGGGTGGGGGTGGAGGGGGGGGGGGGGTCAGGCCAAAACTAGATCTTGGGTAGGAAGAAGCTGCTTTGTTTTCTGCACAACATTTGCCAGTTGTAATCAGAGAGGGAATTCTGATGAGAAGATTACCCAGCAGCGTATGTGTATGCGCCATTCTGTGACAGGGAAAAAGCAGTATCAAGTAACACTAGACTAGAGAAGCAGTATGTCCCTTGATGAATAATGCAATATGCAAATGTGATCACAATGGGATGACACACAGGATATAAGTCGAAGCAAAAAAAAAGAAAAGAAGAAAGGGTGAAAATCTGTGGTAAAAATCTCAAATTTGCATTCACACACCTCTGCTGGTACAGTTGATGTAATAAATATATACAACGCTTTTCTGTGATAATGGCTGCGGGGCGAACTGCCTGTAACAAAGAGCACCCACAGAAGCAGACAAAGGACAGAAGCCACAAAGACAATTTTGAGACTAGTACAATTGCCATATTGGTTGAAAGATTAAAAGATATGAATTAGAATTATCTAACCATTAAAAGGGACTGTCATAAAAGTGTGGAACTTATCCATGTCACCTTACTTTAGAAAGATACAGAAATAGTGCAGAATCATAATATGATGAACACTTCTCTTTTTAACATCTAAAAAAGGATAAAATTACCGTGAAGTCGTGCATGTCACTAAATACCATATCCCAAAGTCACAACAACACCCTTATATAAATTATTAGATTCATTACAATCATAAGAAAAAAGAGAGGTTAACTTCAGTTATTTACGATAGGCCTACTATTGTTACACGTGTCCTTGTTACCTCAGCCCTCTTCTGTTCTTAACCCCCACTTCTATGACTAGAAAGACCAAACAATATGAAATAGCAAGGCTGCACACAGCCCCCCTCTGTCTGTCTCCCCCACTTCTACGACTAGACTAAACGATAGGAAATAGCAAGGCTGCACACAATCAATTCCATTCATTTATGAGAGGTCTTTGGACACTTTGACCCACGGCGTTCACTAGGCCATTTTCCCCCCCGGAAACTTATACTTGTACTCCCTCAAGGAATTTCCAGAAGCCTACACATTATGTAACCTACATGTAGGCCAGGAAACCGAAATTCGAGAATTTGAGTCATAAAACTTGGTTGCTAAAATATTATACACTAAGGCCGCAAAATTAATTAACAGAAAAAGAGCAAAATTAAGTTATCTGGATAGGCAAAAAAATATAAACGACCTCCGCATACGCACGCACGCACGCACGCACGCACACACACACACACACACACACACACAC